TTTTTAGGATTTACTGAATTTCACTCGAACAAGCTAAAAAGGTAGTCAAACTAATAAATGAAGAGAATTTTAGTTTAGTGAATATTTTCTAAAGCATACAGGAGTGATAATAATAAAACAGCATATGATCAAGAAAAACGAACCAACGCGGGTTCTCGTGCGAAAATAATGTCAAATCAGTTTTGACATGACTATTGTTGTCTCTGGTCATTCTTTTAAGGGCATACAGATTGTTGTGACTGATCATGATGCTTTCGCCAGATAGTTCTAAGTCAATCTTCGGATAACGGTGCGAACCTTGTTGGTACAAGAAACGAAAGTTTATCTTTTGTTGTTACCGACCTGGGGTCAAAGATCTGTCGTCGGCTATCTTTAAGGCTGTTTATAGACGTATCAAAACTTGTCAAAAGGGTCTAGAACGGAGCATGCTTAAAATAAGAAAAAAATATAAATTACTAAAGCTACCGATGCTCTAATCTATGCTTTAAAGCTTAAACGTGGATGGACAGGGCATGTAGCAACTTTGTGCTGGATGCAGTTTGCCAATGACCTGGAATACCTGGAAATTCTTGTAGGAGGATTTCACCTGTGCAGGTTATTGGAAACTTAATAGAAATAAGATATTAAAACAGATAAAAATAAGTAAAAATTTGTGTAATTTATTTTCTTTTGAAAACTATAATTTTATTTATATCCACGTAATTGCCTGGAAGAAATCTTTAAGTATGTGTTGTTGGTAGGTGCGCTTCTTACGTTGCGTTATTAGTAGGTACTTGTATTTAAAACTGGCAGAATTGTTATAGATTTCTTAAATAATACTAAAGTAACGAAAGCTTACTCAGAAATGCTTATTCCAAAAGGGAAATTTATGATTTTCTCACAAGTAACATTTTATGTCACTATCTGTGAATCTAAAACCTGTGTTAGGTAATCTGTGGTAACCACCCTAATTTGACATAAGATCACGAAGAGCCATCACGATATAATTTCACGAGTTTCGCGTCACGCCGTGATCCTAATACGATACCGTCTAATTCAAATTGCCGTGAATAAATTCAGAATCGGCGTTATAAAGGTTATCGCGATTCAAGGATTTGACGCCCAACCAATCATTGTTAGCACAATCAAATTTAATCTCTAATCCACGAACATAAGGTCTCAATTTAAAATCTAATCAAAAAGTTTTCTATATTTGCATACATTGGTATTGGTGGAAGCATCAATGAGATGTAGAAGCTATTTTTATCCATATGTTCAGGGGATAAAGCCCAAATTTGAATGCAGTTCCGATATGGACGCGTTTAGTAGTTTACGGAGTAATTTTTGATTTTTTCCGCATTGATCTGAATAGTTTTTGTATGATCTAAATAAAACGGTCAGGGGGAATGTGGGCCTAGTGGCTTCAGCGTGCGACTTTCATCCATAAGGTCGTAGGTTTGATTCCCGGATGTACACCAATGGACTTTCTATGTGCGCATTTAACATTCGCTCGAACGGTGAAGGAGACCCAAAAAGTCGACAGCGTATGTCAGACACAGGAGGCTGATCACCTACTTGCCTATTAGATTGACAAATGATCATAAAACAGATACAGAAATCTGAGGCCCAAACCTAAACGGTTGTAGCGCCTGATGTATTATTTTATTTAAATAAAAAGGTCATTACATAATAATTGTAGAGCATATATATTTTTAAAACTTTTCATTCAAACACTTAAATTTTCACAACTGAGCGTTTCTTTAAGCAGTTTTTGCCTCGCACCACTATAGGTGAAACCAGCTGCCCACTCCAGTATTTCCGAACCAATTCGAGAAAAGAGCGTTCGAATTCTAAAAAGGCCGGCAACGCACTTGCGAGCCTTTTCACCGCCCATGGACACTTACATTGCCAGAAGGCATCAGGCGAGCCTCCTGCCCGTTTGCCTCCTGTGTGTAAAAAAAGTTAATTAAGAACAGCTATGACCTAAAGTCCCGTCGACGGTTCCAAAAAACCTTAACATCTTTTCTACTTCCATAAAAATTGTACCAATAGCTAAGTGGGAAATGGAGTTGAAGTTTGACATACAAAAACATTTAAATTAAATTAAGCGGTTAAAATGGTTTTTCTACAGACAACATTTCTCGCCGTGTTTTGTAACAAGGAAAATAAAGCATATTAGTTTGTTTGCAAAAAGTCAATTAACTTGTGCGGTAATGGTCGTAATAGCAAATCGTTGTAAGCGGATGTTCGTATTATGCAAATGTTTACGAGAACAATACGTTTTTTAACTTTTTAAGGACAAGGATATTTTTGGGGCTTTGGCCCAATTACAAGAGTCAATCTAACCGGACCATTGAGCAGCATAAAATCGTATAATAATAATTTCACAAATTTATTTAATTATATTGGTTAATTATATACTTACGAACGATAATATTAAAAAAAGGAATTCTAAATTCTCACATACTAGGAGTTCCGAATTCAAGGGCAAGAAGACAAGGCAAGAAACTCACCACCACCCATTTCAATCGCCAAGCTTTGGTTTACAAGGAAAATGTAAGGAAGTGCACCCGTTACGCGATGCTTCTCTTGACATAGTGAAAAATATTATATAATAACATATACGTAGTAACATCTAAAACTATTTTAAAATCGCGTTCAGAATGCGTTTATTATTATTATGTGAGCCCTCCATTTGAGGCAATTGTTTTAATTTATCAAGGGTTCATCGTAAGGGTAATTTTAAAATTGATTTGAGAAATCCAAAACGACTATATAGCATTCATCGTATGAATAAGAATTGTTATTACAGTAATATTTGAACCAGTCAAAAACTATGACGGCGTTTAACGCATAATAAATCGTGAGAATTTAAGTCGTTGACCGGCAAATCGTCGCCTCGGGTAGAGAAATTGATTCTTGTTAAGTGCAGATCTCATTAAACACCTAACTGACCTTTGGTTTAATTACCTCTGCCATTGTTTACTGAGAAAGTGAAATTCGCAGGTCATGTTATGTAATGAAGGTCGCCTTGTCAAAACAAAACTAATTTGTTGATAATTATTGTGGCAATCAAGAAGACGCTAATATGGTTTTGCTAATTTAGGTGCATTTTTCAATGGATAAATATTGTATCTGACGGCACAGATTGATGGACATCGTGTGGCTATATAGATACGAAATGATTTTAATATTGTTTTGTGTCAAATGTTACTACTGCGAAAATACGTAACAATTTTTTTTAATGTCTCATTACGGCTTACACATGCCAACATTTAAGGTCTTGACTTTGACGGTGATGACACGGACGCTGTTTTTCAGTTGTTTGAATGAGCCGACACGATCGGGGTAATACCACTTTCCCACTGAAATCAAGCGTGAAGTGGCCCACGCAGGACGTGTGTCGCGTTTCGTTTAATGTTGTGGGACTCCCGGAAGCTCATCCCCTTCCTCTCCGAATCATGGTAGCGTTATTTCTAACTTTTCAAAATTCGTTTGTACTCCTCCATCAAAGGCCGGCACTCACTAAAAATATGGGTGTCTATGAGGCTGCGATGACTGCCCTCTTGGGCGTCCCGCACACTCGTTTGCCCCACTATTATATAAAAAAAACATAAGGAACGTTTATTATGTTTGTCAAATTAATATCAATTATTTTATATTAATAGCAGGATGAGTACGATTCTATTGTTTATTTAAACGTGAGACCATATATACAGTAGTATTTAGAAATCATTTAAGCTATTAAATTACATATGAAATAAAATTACAGGTAATTTATTTATTAGGCAGTCGTTCATATTACTGTGATTGGCTTTTTTATCCACAAGACCAGAAGATTTACAAAAATGAAATTATGATATATCTGAACTTTGAATGATTTGTGTTTTGTGTAAAAATAAATAAAACAACTTTTTTTTAGGTTAGGTTAGATTTCTGTATGTTTCATAATCATTTCTCAATCTCAAGGCAATTAGGTGATCCGCCTCTTGAGCCTACACATCCCGTCGAGTTTTTGCGTCTAAGGCAAGCCACAAGTTTCCCAGTTTTTTTTTAGATGTAAGATTTTGTAAAATAATTAGTAGATTTAGGACTGTGTGTGATGTCGTAAGCTTAATAACTAAATAAATAAATAAATAGAAAGAAATTCCATTGAAACACAGCCGGGGATCGGACCTACGACCTTAGGGTTGAGAGTCGCACGCTGAAGCAAATACCAAATACTGCTCACTGCAAGCCACTTCTTTGTACATTTGTTGATAATTAACCAATATTGTTCAATAATCAATTTATCAAACCGGACCGGACCGAACTAACTCCGATAAAACTGCAGGGCCATTTAAGCTATTGAAGTAAATATAATAATTAAAAATACCTACTAACAAGGCCCAATAAAAAGGCGTATAATTAATTCATACTTAATGCAATCCAGCAACTAATAATTCATTTTACACCTATGATACATAATTAATGGTTTGAAGTTGAAGACGGCGCCTAATTATGTGTTTATGACTTATAACTTACAATTATACCTCCCACGTTACTAAACAATACATTTGAATAAACAGAATCAAACCTACAATTTTTGCGAGGTAGCATAGATTACAGACTATAGACATTATGGATATTCGTTTTCTGCTATACGTTCTTAGGAATACATTTTTTATCTATATTTTTTTTTGTAAATTTGATTAAAGATTTCTAATAAAAATCTTATTTTATCTCCGAATACATATTATTATAGTAATAATCTAGTGACCTTAATCTTTCAATAATGTATAGGACACCACAATTCATACGATTTTTTAATAAATTACGAATTAAAAGGGTCTTTTAATAGTGTTTCATAGTGTCTAAGAAATACGTGTAAAAAAGCTTTTAGGAACTAAATAATTTATTAGCAATGCCTTTATTATGGAACAAAACAGTAGCGCTACAACCTTTTACCTCTAGGCTTCAGATTCCTGTATCTGTTTTATGTTTATTTATTTTTCTTAATAGGCAAGGAGGTGATCAGCCGTATGTGCCTGATACTCCCGTCTAAAGCATTCCGATGTCCTCTCGATGTAATTTCCTTCAACGTACGAGCTTCTGTATTAGACAGAAGTCCATTGGTGCACAGCTGGGGTCACCTCAGAGATGAGGGCCATACAATGAAGCTTACACTAGACCATCTATGTTATGGAACCCCTGTGAATGTCGTGTGGTCTCTTCACTTAATTCTTGTCTTTATTGCGCCTACTAGAGCTGCGAAATCAATAAGTAAGCAATTCATCAAATTACCTACACAAACCATTTTCTATCGAAACGTGTAATTTACCTATTTGAACTGCAGTTTCGAATGCTAATTATTTCTAAGTACGTTTAAACTTTAACAAGACTAAATTAAAATTCGAAAACTTGACGTCGCGTGCACCCGCTACGGCTTTTCGAATTCGTAAATTATTTCAGTGAAATTCACATTTACAATTTTGAACCTTAACTTTAAACTTTGAAAGGGGAATGAAGTTCTAATAGCGTTAGTAATACGTGATAGTTTTAATGCGTTAGACTCGTTAATTATATTACAGTTACATTAATCGATACTTATATGTAAATTTCGTCATGTTATTTGTGAGTGTCATATGTTATATTAACTAGTAAAATATATTGGTAGTCGGATTTCTAAGTTGGAGAAAATCATTTCTTAAGAACGCTTAACGATGAGAGATACTAGGTTCTAGAGATCTTCGTAGAGCTTGAGTCCTTGTTCCTATAACGGTCTTAGAATGCATTTTTCTCACCCTTTATATTATATGAAAGCAACTGCCTCCGCAGCATCTCGAACAATTCGACTTAGGAACCTTCAATAACTTCTTCACGGATTCTTATAACGGCTTTACAAAGTATCTAGAATGACCCTTCTGGCATTGAGGGTGTCTAACAGGGTCACGTCTAGTGTCCGTATGACTCCTGAATATATATGACGTAAGGTAACAGAGTACTTCTGGTACCGTCGAAGTTAAGAACTATTATAAAAATAGTTTTTGATTGCATGCAAATCATTAATTACAATTCAATCATCGGACTGGCAAGGCAGAATAGTCAATAAACGTATCAGTTTACGTGTTGAAAGTTCCATAACTGAATTTTTAAAGCAATTTTCCGTGCAAAATTATGTAACATGATTCTATTGGATTATTTCCGAATGAATTGATTTAAGGTCTTATCAAGGCTCGTAGCATCTTTTAAAAGCCGTGGGCAACCCACTGTCAATCCCGGCGTGTCACGGTCCATGGGCAGCGGTATTTCACTTCATCAACTGTTCAGATGAGCCTATACGAAGAAACTTAAAAATCCGTTTAAATTTATAAACCTGTTAATATAGTTACTGATTTGTCAGCCTATCTTAATTGTGACTTAAGTTTAATTTAATCTCTTCTCTAAGTTTTTTGTAAAAAGATGTCTTTTAAGTTCAATCATTTGATGATTCGTAACTTGAAGCCTTGAGAATGATGAAAGATCGTAAATACAGCCAATTTCGGCAAATCTCCATAACGACAATCAAAGCACGTCCATCCAATGTGACGAAAACATTTGGGTGTTCATGATTTCGAAACATTCTCATGCATGAGATACAGTATTTTTGGAATGAACGCAAATATGACGTGATTGTTTCATGTGCGTATGATTATATTAGTTTTTACTGTTTTATTATATGTTAGTCTTGTAATTAAGTCTACAACTGTATTTTTTTAAATTTAGTGTTGCACTTTTCCTTAGTATTGCTTGTTTAATTTTTATTCACTAGTTATTGTTAGCTGATAAGGCCGCCCCTTGCCTCCAAATGTTATTTTATATGTAATATGTACAAAAAGTGTTTCAAACATAATCCCGGTATTATAAAATATTTTTTCAGACAGTAGGCGCAGTTTTGAAGAGGCTCAAAAATGACAAACAGATACGGAAAAAGAATGACATAGAAATATAAATGTGTTTAAGTTTAAAAGTATCCAAAAGGCATTATTATTATTATTAAAAATATCTACTCAAACCGTTTGACTGTTATTGAAATCGTATAATTGGCTTTTAACACAACAAAAACTAATGAAGAAACCGAATCATTAATTCATATCACGATTAAGACGTAAACAAGGATTGATCGCAGGCGTATCATTAATGTCATTAATCATTCATTCACTGATCAAAGTGACCCGCCTTGCCTTGGCTTAAATTTGCAATCGCACTTGTTTATAATAATGGGCTTTAATGAAATTATTTTAAATTAAGAACAAACTTGCGCCCGCTTCAGTTGCGGTGTTGACACTTAAAATTCAGACCGTTTTAACTAAAACCTCTTTTCTTAACACAGTATACAGATGGAAACGGACAGAAAAGTTCTTAAATATAAACTATTAAAAGGTTTGATGATTAATATCAGAAATAACTAAGTCCCAAATTAAGTCTTCTATCGCATATATCATGAGGAGTGTTCCAAAGAACTCTTTGGATTAATACCTGTGGCTAAATTTCGTAATCGGACGTCAAGTCTATGCAAAATTCAACCCGTTCCAGCTTGACGTCTGGTGTTCCATGGCAGAGCGCTTTTACACTTCTTGCGCTCACCTTATCTATTTTTTTCTCTTACCTGGAAGAGAACGCTCGAAAGCGATAAGGCCGCCAGTTAAAATTTTTTTATTTAACTATTTTTATTTCATTATTTTATTATTACTGCGTAATACTGACGCGAAGTCTATTACTCTAGTAATTAGTATGTTTTACAAAATATATAAACGTCTCTGCACATGATATAAATTAAATTAAATTTTTATTAACGTTGAGACCTTCGTTTAGCCTGAATTCTTGTACCCACACGATTCCGAACATCAGCGCCCCCTTTACTCCTACATACAATATAAATGGCAAATTATCGGCGTTTAGATTACTCAAATTCTATGTATACCTTCAAAATTTATTCGAATATTAATGGGTCGTATCAACATCGGTGAGGGAAAACATCGTGAGGAAACCGGCTTTACGACCCAAAAAGTCGACGGAGTGTATCAGGCACAGGAGGCTGAATTGATTAGATTGACAAATGATCATGAAACAGATACAGAAATTTGAGGCCCAGCCTTAAAAAGGTAGCGCCACTATTTTTTTTAAATTATTTTGTTACCAAAATTTATCATTTAAGTTATTGTAATTATTGGGTCATATTTATTTTTAGTCAACGTATTTGCGTTATGTTTATTAAGAGATTAGTAGGCCTTATTAGTTAGATTGTCACTGAGGTGTAGGTTTTCGAAGGACTTTCTATGGCGTATTTAACACTCTCTATAGAAGGAAAACATCGCGAGGAAATGATCCCTTAGGCCTAAACACTGTGGCCAGACAGAAGGCTGATCGCTTACTTGTCTATTAAAAAAGTAGATCACAGAAATCTGAGGCCCAGACCTAAAAGATTAGCCTAAAAGCTTCTACCGCCATTGGTTTTTTAATTATTATTTATTGTTACTGGGAACACATAAAATGTAACTAAGAAGACACAGGCCTACAATTCTCGGTAAACAGATATATGTTCCAATAAATTATATTTATTGATATAGTAATAATAGATAAGAGTTTTGTCTACTACGTTGACTGTTAATAACTATTATTTATCTCTATTTGGTACACATTTAGTGTTATCTGATCTCAATTTTATTATCTAAAATATTCGTGTATTGGAGAACAAACTGATTAAACTGTTTTTAATTAAAATCACTAGTGAAAGAAGTACAGAAATGTGTGTCATATCCTATATTTAAGAAAAAATAAACATTAGACGCGGTCTTACTGCTAAAAGTTTCTTCCAGGCAACTTAAACTTAAAAACTTAACCCCATTGTTAAATTACAGGTAACAATAGCAATGAACATTTAAATATGTAGTCATAATGAAATCGAAAAATAGCCCTTGCACTTTTAAAGTACAATTAAACATTGAACATTATTCATGTCGTTGAAAAACGCTGTAATAAATCTGACCATGCGTCGATAGTATAATCTCTTAATCACTGCGAATGCATCTGCATTAATCAAGTTCAATGTCCCGGTTTATCTATTGTACTATTTATATACCAGCACAAGTTATGAGATGAGAGCGATTTCAATTAATAATAATAAAAACTTTATTCATGACAAAGAGGTTGTGACAAAATTCATATATCGCTAGTCCCCACACTAGGGAGTCCCTGTGTGGGTAACTAGATAGCAATTAGTGGTACATGGTACATGTTAAAAACAGTTTTTAAAGAAATAGTAGGTTTATTGTAACAACGAATCAAACACAAGTCTTATAAGACATTAAGTATGTGTGAATGGGTGTGTGTGTGCATGTATTTGAGAGTGTAGCTAAGAGTTATTATAACCGTGCACGTGTGTCTGTGTTAGTGTTTGGCACCTCTAATGTCACAAACTAAATTATTGTTAATGATTCTTAACTCTGGCATCGTCTGCTTCTTCTACGAGTAGTGCCATCTTCTTTGGAAGGTTGGCGATCATCATGCCTATTTTGATTTTTGATGCCGCGCTTCTAAACAACCAAACTAAACCAAACCGGCTGGCTTCGTACGGTTTGTTAAATATTTTGGAATCAAAAATTATATTTGGGGAAAATGTAGCATTTTTGAGTTTATTCGACACGCACTTTCTTCTTCAAAACTAATAAATAAAATATATAAGCCTATACAAGCCTTCACCGAGATGCTTATTTAATGAAACGGATTTTATATTTAATTTAATATGTCAATAAATATAATCTATATGGTTCCTAAAATTTCAGTCCAGAGCATGTTAATTAATATTTAAAAAAATATTTTTTTATAATTTGATGTAGTAAATTTTTAAAATTTTTTTCAATAATATTTTTAATAGGGTAGTATTATATATGTATCACTATCTTTCTTTTTATAAAGATTATATATACTTTAGTGTCACATAAAAATATACACATAAATAAATATTAAACACCTGTTTGTATCTTGGGCTTCATACTTTCGGGGGGTGGGAAAAAAATTTATCTAATAATCATACCGGTGAAATGTTTAAAAAAATTTTTTTTAATAATAATTAAAATACCCCCCCTGGACTGAAATTTGGCTAGGCAACCCATGATGGATTATACTTATTGACATATTAAATTAAATATAAAATGCGTAAAAATTATAAAATATATAGCCTACTATTAGTACACGACCTCCGGTCTCCACGAATTAAAGGCTGAAGAATTTTCCAATAACATTAATTTACTTCTTCGAAATATAGATTTGTAATACATTTCCGATTCTTTTAATATACTATATAAAGCCGAATTGAATTTACATTTTGACAAAAAATTATAATGAAAACGATTACATCATCGTTTACTGCAATATCAAGCCTTGAAAAATCTTTTATTTCCAATTATAACAAGTTATGAGCATCCGGCAGTTTTATAATTCGAAATTTCGGTGACCACATTTTATGCAAACGTATTGTTATCTTTAATACGAATCAGAGTGATCCTAGTAAACATTAGCTTATTTTACGACATCCAAAAACCTTCCAAACAGCCTTAACTTACACTGATCTATATTTGGCTGCAGTCCAAATACACCGTTCGCTGCAGCGTCCACAACTTGCATTGTAAATTAAATTTATAGCATAACAAATTCTAAAGAGCCCTATGAATTCGTTAATAACAGTTCGTTCGCTGTATGTGACCTTAAACGTATGTAATATTAATCAGGAAGAGGTAGTCATTTATATTAATACATATTTTGTCACTAATTTAAATATATAAACAAAACACACTTTTCTTATAATAGAACAAACAGTACAGTAGGCTGATCTGGTTTCATGTGATACAATGCCAGAGGGCTCGCGAATGCCTTCCGGCCTTTAAAATTACTATAAAAAAGGACTTAGCAATATCTTACATTGTATATGTCATGTCAAAGTTAATTTAATAAAAAATAATTTACATGTTCTGTGGAAAGTTTTAAAAATAGAAATAGTTATCTGTCCATGTGTGATGTTCATCTATTGTCTATTGTTCCAGGTGACATTGAAGACTGCATTGTAACACCGGCGTATCAAGGCCAGTTCACTCCTCTTCCCGAAGCGTTATGTGACTGCATTATGGACCTCACTTCACAGGTAATAAACAAGTTATAAAAAAACTAATTAGCAATGTTTCAAATAAATGGCGAAATTGTATTATCAAATTGCGCGCCAAGAAAGAATATTGGAATAATAAAAACAGAAATACACCTTTAATAAGCTTTATAAAATATAAATTACTAGTGGCCCGTCCCGGCTTCGCACGGGGGGACATTTATTTTGTAAATATTTTTTGTATGTTTTTTAATATTGTGGAACATTTTTTTTGTTCTACCATCAATAGTTTTCGCAGCGCAAGCGATGAAAGATTTTTTTTTACACCTTGGGTAACAATATTGTAGTTTTAGTGGGGATCCTTAGATCTTGCTATTAAAATAGCCTATATTAATCAGTGATAATGTAGCATTCAAATGGTGAAATAATTTTTAAAATCAGTTCAGTACTTTTTGTGCCAATTCCTTAGAAACATACTTACATACAAATCTTTCCTCTTTATAATATTTGTATAGATTGATCCACTTACACATAATTCCTTTTAAACTTTGTGTAATCAATATTTAAAGTATATTACACACATAAAGGGCGCTTATAACCGCCATTTTGAAAAAGTTCCGTTGCTTGTACCTAATACCGGAATGACAACGACCATGAAATTTAAAGAAATACTAAAAATATACCGGTTTTAACAACCTGTATGCATATTTTGGCGATGGTCTAAAATTCACGAGTTGATGTTAACTGCTTCACAGATTTATTTAATTATAATTTTGAGGTTATATTTAATAAATAGTCAGTAATGTACATACATTGTAAGCAAAGTTCCTTAGTGTATATATATATCTATATGAAAGTCTTTGACGGTCCGCTTCAGAAGACATTTTCTTTTGCAAACTACGGAACTGTGGAATCGACTGTGGAACTGTTTAAAAAACAGCCTACTTCCTCCCTCAAATGCCGGTAACACATCCACTAAAATCGGTGTACATAGGCTGCGATGACTACCCTTTTTTAGCGTCCCGTATGCTCGTTTGACCCCTATGCTATAAAAAAATTACATTAATAATTTAGGAATAATAATTTCTTAATTAGGGGTTTCACTTAAATACTCTATAGACTTTTAATTTACATTAAAAAAAAAAAAAAAAAAAAAAAAAAAAAAAAAAAAAAAAAAAAAAAAAAAAAAAAAACCCCCCCCCCCCCCACCAAAAACAACCCCAAAAAAAAAAAAAAAAAAAAAAAAAAAAAAAAAAAAAAAAAAAAAAAAAAAACACCCCCCCCCCCCCAAAAAAATTTTTTTTTATAAAAAATTTTCTTAATTAGGGGTTTCACTTAAATACTCTATGGCTAGGCTTTTGACATATACCTTATAAACATCAATTTCGATCATACGTTCCATTTTCAAATTAAGCATGTTACTGTAAAATTTGTTTAATCGCTTACGGTTCTGTCTTGAGTGGGACATTCTTGCGGCCATCCCTAAATAACTACGCCATGATGTAATGTTGCTAATTCTGAACAAAACTGCGTGTTCGGTGTATTGAGGATAAAGCCAAGTATATTGCATGTATAATAAGATTTTCGTCATTTAATATATGCCTATAATATATAGCTATAGACAAATAGTGTCTATATTTCATTGTGATAAGGGTTATTTTACAATGCATAAAAATATGCTATACCCCCTTCCAGAAAATGACATCAAAGTTGATTTAACTTTTCAAATGTTATTCGAACTAGTCTAGACACTGTTGACCAATCACAATCCGGCGACGACGTTTCGTTTAACATTGCATTTCGATTTCGTATCCATGAATCGTTCTAAATTTAAAATGATATTAAGTTTGAATAACATATAAAGCTATTGGCACAATTCTGCGTTCCTTTTTCAAAATTTTATAGAACCTGTTACAATTGCTTGCTCTGTTGTCAGATGACAATCAATTTGACAAAAGCAGTGCTTCCACAAATCATTCTAAATTTAAAACCGCCACCTACGAGGCGTTGGCCCCATAGATTGTAAATTGTTCTTGCGTGCTTATTACCATCTAATCCCGCTCAAATGTCATATAAATCTAAAACATAATTCAATGAATATTCAAAGTATCCAGTATCGTAACACGTTACAATTTGTCAATTTTGTAACGTTTTGTAACAAGTGCCACAATAGAATGTAGTCTGTCTAGTCTATGCCGTATGTGGGTAGGTATTTATGTCGCGATATTAAATGTAACAATGGACGATGTATTACATGTATAAATGTATGACATGAGTTTTAGTCATATGATAACTTTTAAATTACGGGTAAGATTGAAAGTCGAAACTTAGCGCGAGGTAGAACTCCAGTCTATTAAGAACGTATTGGATTCGACTTGTGAATGTATAACGACATGTTGGCGCGTTTCGTTTGATTGTGATTGGTCAACAACATTTCTAGACCAACACTCAAAGGCATGCGACATGTATGTCATATTACGTCAGTTGGTCTATCGTTGAAGTAAGTGTACCACAGATGGTCTTTGAATATAAGTAACCTTCATCTTTCGATAAGAGTTGTTCACATGGGCAGAAAACTTGATCGCGCGTTTTCAAATGGGCGCGCGCGCTCGACTAGTCTTTAGACGTTGTTCTATTTCTACAACTGTTTCGGCGCGCGTCATGGGGGGGGGGGGGGGGGGGGGGCGGGGGAAGAAAAGGTCTCTAGGCGCGGGTGATCCGGCGCCTCAGAGAAAAGAGTCTCGAGCGGCGGGTGTTCGCGCGTTGTCGAGCGCGCGCTTTGTGTATTAATGTAGTGTCCGTTTGCTGTTCAGGGATGAGAGCGCGCTTTCATCGCGATCGCTGTAATTTGTTAATTTTCGTAATTATATTTTGTTCTCGCATTTAAAATGAGTGAAATTGAAGATATTGACATCGACTTACTTAATCGATAAGAAGTAGACCCAGCAAGTTGGAATATAGCAAATTTGTATAAAAAATATAATATAATTTGTATTTTTTTTTTTAAATGTTTGGATGAACCCAATGTGTACGTTTTCTTTTTCTATTTTTTCTTTATAATATAACCACAAAATAATAGCCTCTTCCACGTCCATTTTTCTACGTTCTACCGAACTCGAACTGACCGGCGGGGGGGTACTCTCGCAACGCGCGTCTTGGCGCTCATCATCTGAACGCTCTTCAAATTTGATCGCGCGTTGACGCGCGTTAACGCGCGTTACATGTGAACATAGCCATATAAACTCTTTATTTACATGCTGGTGGTAATAACGAATTGGAAAAATAATAATTATTATCCTTAATAATTTTTTCTAGATCCTCTTTCCTTTTTTTTTAAATATCAAACATTTCTTAAGACTCATTGTTGAACCTTTGTTGAACTTGTCTATGCCTTTGTAGGATATTTGCCATAGTGTAAATAATGCAATTTATGTTGTGTGATAAAAGGAATCTAATCGATATGTATCATTTAAAATACTTTAGATAATTAAACCGCATTCATTTATACATTTTATAATTGATAATTTAAAAGAGAATGGCGCTAGCGACACAAACATTAGCTGTCACTAGTGACACTTTACATCTCTGTCAAACCATGTAAAGCGCGCTAAAATTCTAAATTTAAAAACATGCTCCAAAATCTTACAAGACAAGTTATGGAGATATTCCGTCCTTAGCACTGATTTTATTACGCCGATAAAACAATCGTGTCTATTCTTGTTTCTTAGAATTATTGGTCTGGGAACCACTCTAGGGACATTATTCAATATTGCACATTACATATAAAATCGAATTTTATGTTCGAATAAATTTAAGATATATATTATTTCTAGATTTGTTGACTTAGTTAACGTTTACACATGAATATTTAAAATAATTAGATAACCAAAGTGACGAAATTTTGTTTCGAAACAAAAATTCTTTGGTTAATATTTCATTAGAATCAGTAAACTAAACCCATTGAAAAGCTTATTGGGAATTATTGTATCCAATCTTTTATAATAGGAAAGATAAATTTTTACGGTCGATCTGAGGTTGGTAAGGGTAAGTTGTATATTACATAGTAGCCAAACTTTTCAAGGGTAAAAAAACGGTCTATGGGGACCTCCATGTTCCTTGGTGGCAAAACCATAAAGTAGCCTATGCGAAGAAGGTACTCAAATGGCCATGTTGGGTGACTACAAATAAAAAAATTTTCCAACTTATTGAGATGTATTCACACATTTTTACATAACCTCAAAATTTATTGATATCGGTTGGAAGATTGGGTCAACCGACAAAAACACACGTAATTTATAATTTAATAGTAGATTAAAATTAAAAATTGATAAGTAGGAGGGTCCCTGTCGGGTACTGGTGGCGATTATAGTTCCTCATACGATGTTTTTCAATTTTTTCTGAGAAGATTCAATTTTATGGTATCGATTATGATAGTCATTTATTTTTTGACCATAGGTTAAGTAGAGAATGCTCATCTGAATCTTGAAGGCAATACTTCAATTTTTTTGATGAAGCTGAAATTTTGACATCAGAATTTTCGCGGATTGAAAGTAGGTTGTTCTAGTGGCTTCAGCGTGCGATATTAATTCAAAATAAGGTGAAAAATTTATAACGGGGCATATTTTTAATGCGCAAAAAAAATAAGTCCATTGGTGACACGCCAGGGATCGGTAACCTAACGACCTCAGGGATGTTAAATCATAGTCCAACACTGCTAGATTTATTTATTGGTGGTAACATACGTTTAAATATAAGTTAGATATTAGATGAATTACTAATAAAATTTGTCTTTATAATCCAACAACTCTATTCCAGGGGCAGTCAGCAACACTGGAGAGTATAAGAACCTCATTGTCTTCCAAATTCCCGTCCATGCAGACACCCTCACAGGAAGTGGTATATGACACACTGGCTCAGCTGATGCAAGAGAGGAAAATCTACCAGACATCGAGAGGTTACTTCATCGTCACACCAGAGTAAATATTTTAGTCATATATTATATAAAATGGATTTGTAGTGTGAAAAGTCTACATATAGTAGAAACTTCGTTTTCAGCCAGTGCCGAACTTTCAATTACGTTTTACTTCCCTCGAAAGAAGGAATAATTGTTAATAATACTTTGACAATTGTATTATTAATATATCATTAAAATGTACTTCTAGTGATGCTTAAATTTTTCCAAACACTTTTGTATACAAGTCAAATGAACAAATTTTTGGTTTCCGGTTTTTCGGAACATAATGGCAATCCTCTATATTGGAGGTCCACGAGGGGGCTTTCGATTCACTGTTGTTTAAAAAAGCGCAAATTTGACTACATTTTGCAATAAATACTAAATAGTATATTACTTTCTTGTATGCTCACTCACAATTAAAACGGAAATACCAAATAATTATAAAATTAGGAAAAGGCTTTTGCTAATGATATACGGTTGAGTTGTACTATAATCTTAAATTTATTGGCAAAAAATAGCTATTTATTTGACCTTACCGTATAAGGTCCTTAACGTCGCAATTTTTTATTCAAAGCGCGACTTTTGAAATCACCAGAAAAACCCACGCGTCACCATCCAATATGTGCAAGATAAAAAATATACGTGAGAACAGTAATGTTCGGTGATTGAACTTTATATTTTTCTAAGAGTTTAGAAACTTCCATAAAATTTTTTTTAGCATAAAGTAATGTAGGATGGGTTTGTGATTTGGGACTCTAAGTCATCTTAAGCTTCGTAGATTAAGCATCTAGCTCTTTGCTGTATTTAACTAGCACTCGGAAACAAGAATAACTTTATTACTCAGGCTTGAGTTATATTCTCTAAACCTACCCTACTATACTAAAAGAGCTTACCAATTCCTAAAAGGTCGGCAATGCACTTGCGAGCCTATTGATAGAGTGAATGTCCATGGGTTTATCACTTAACATCAGGTGAGCCTCATGCCCGTATGCCTATTGCTAATACCCCTTTTAATTTATATAGGTAAGGTAGGCAATCGCCACGTGATATCTCGTTCGATTCAAATTCCACTATACAATGAATGAGTTTTTCATAAAAAAAGCCTTAAATACAATGTAGACTATAAATATAGACCCCATTTGAATCATAATTTCGTTTTCTTAGTATATTTAAATAAAACATTTCAACTTCATTACTGTACCATAAATCCACGTCGCGTTCAAATCAACTGCAAATGAAAACAAATAGTAGCGAACTCGATGATTCATCCCACCAAATAAAGACATGAACTGGAACACGCACCACAATTTGGAACGCAGCCTGTGTACGAATGACAGAATGCCAATTTTGGCGCCAAACTTGACATTTCGATTCCAATGGCGGACAGAACAATCTACACAAACGCGTTCGACATTTAAAAAAACATTTAATATTTACTCAGTATTGTTTAAACTTTAAACCGAACCTGAGTTTAGGCGCCAAACTTTGACGTCAAGGCAAATAAAAATGGCGGACAAAATAATCTGCTTTTCTTTCTTTTGACGCGTTGTAAAAAACGCGCGTATATTTAGACCTTTGATTATATTTAGACACATTTGAAAAGCCAATTAGTAATTTTAATGTGTGGTCAAACATCAAAAACATACCTTATGTCAGATAAAAATAATTCCAAGATTCAAGTTACTTTGACCTCTGTGTTGTAATATTGCAAATTGGATTTATAAACACAGAGCATACAACACATATTTAACCGAACGTGTGGTCTTCGGTAACCGGATTCTCTGTGCTCATGTTTCATCAATTTTTTGCTAAACGTCACCTGTCGCTCAATGAAACACAGGTTTTTATTTCGGTACTACGATAAAGTCGAAATGTAATAAAGCCAATTAAGGATGCAATACTGAAATATTCTTCCGCTTGGATTTACAGGCTGCGTTTAAGAACATGACACATTTATAAGTATTTATACTTAATAATTTTTAATAACTAAGCCAATTATAATTTCCAATCTTATCCTCTAATCCTAATATACTAAAAGATGGTATCAAATAGCCACTTCTTCCTTGTGTCTTTATATGTGTATCATTTTTGTTCAGCTTATAAGATCATCCAAAACACAAACGCCACTTAAAATTTAAAAAAAAAACACCATTGTTCGGAACCCCTTGACGGGGAATCCTCCTCCAGGTTTTTCCGACTGTCTCTGTCTATGGCTTTCTTTCTCTATTCGCTTCTATTTCTTCTATCCACCTTTTATATGAGCGCCCTTTTCACCTTCTTCCCCTTGGTCCGTTCCAAGGAAAGTGTTTGTATTCACTATTAATGTAAAAGTTTCTGAATTTGACAGTTGTGGTTAAAGAACATATTTTGGAGTTTAATGTTACGTTATATATCGTCAATATAAGAAGTTCGTACGTTCTCTAGGATCAGTTAAAATAGTTACACCTTAGTTTTGGGTAAAAAAATTCTAATATTTTGTATGTATTTAATATTACACAAACACAAGTCTTACTTAAGCGTAAACGAATTCGATATTGTTTATATGAGGACCAATTCGTTACAGCTTAGCATCGCATTCGGCGAACCCCCTGGCACATTATTTTAAATTAAATTCTATAAATCTTTCATCTCCATACTTTAAAATATTTCAACGACAAATAATACTTCACATTAGGCGAGCCTTATGCACGTTTGCTTTTTAACACAAACCGTTCTATACAAAAAAAACATCTGACAATATCACATACATGTCGCTACTTTCTAAGAAAGACAGCGCAGCTCCAATCCATTGAATTGCACAATTCTGGTTAAATTGGGTTTAAAGAACAATTGTTTTTATTTTAAACACGTAATAAGGACGATTACGTGCCAATTAACGGTGTACTAAAGATGCTAAAGAGGACGTAATGACAAGTTTTTGCCATTCAAATTTCAAGAATAATTCGCGCCCAGAGTGCTCAATGTTAATATTAAAATGGCTCACCTGACTCATAAATCTATAGTTAACATAACTGGTTGAACTTGTTGGCAATTTTGTTTTAATATGTGATAAAGATGAAAAGCAAAACTAATATGTTATTTGGAATATTATATTATATAATATATTTAACTGGTTTGACATCTTACGTTTTGTTTCTTTGTTCTTCATTTTAATTTGTTGTAATACAAGTTTTTTAATTGTTATATACAGAGCAAGTGATGATATTAATTTAACAAATGTTTGACGTCCAATATATACTGGACTCTCAGTTCTTCAATGTTACGTTTGAATGGGAACTAATAAATGTTTTGGATTGGTAGATACAGAGTTTTTTTCAATAGGGTCAATATGATAATCTAAATCACTATTTTTTTCATATTCAATATCGAAGTGCCTAAAATACTGAGGTTAGAAAATTGGAACATTTAATACTAAGGGACATTTCGAGATTTGATCAATATATACGAGTATGTCGCAGCCAACTAGTTTAATTAGCCGTTCAATCAACAGCCTTATAACTAAACAGCGCCATCTAACCTGATGAATATCATTCATTTTATCATTTATTAAACTGACTGGCTAAAGCTTAGGCCATTCGTACGACCATGTGACAGAAATAAAAAAGCTGAAATATCTGACATAAGAAATTCTTTTTTTATTATATTTAAAGTGTAACTTATTAGTGTTCTTACACTGACTCTTAGTGCCACTACACTCCTCCATACTATTTTTCATAAAACCCATTGATAGTTTGGAGTAGGTGGCAGATAGTGGAACTAAATTGTACAGGATAGGAAAGTAATGTAACGTCATCGATTCAAGTCATTTGCCTAGCTGTTTGATCAAATGGCTGAATATCATTCAGGCCGCTAGTTAAACGGCGCTGTTTAGTTAAGAGACTAGGCTGTTTATTCAACGGAAAGTTAAGCTATTTGCCTACGACAGCTATATGGAATTTATCAGAAAAATTATCTAAAAAGGTTCTATAGAAAAATGTCATTTTGAAGGCGACACACGGTTTAAGATTATAAAACACACAAAAAATGTTTTAGGTTTTAAGAATTTCTATCTTAATGAATTATTTTGGTTACTAAGTTTATGTTCGCCCGCATGGCCTTATCTCGAATACAGCCTTGCTGTAATAACCGTTTAAATGCTTCGGTTAAATATTTCTAAAGCAATTAAGTTGACCTTAAAAGTAAATATTAGAATGATTTAATGCGATTCTATTCAAGAGTTCGCCGTTAAATCGTCATTTATGGCAATTTAGGTAAAGGACAGGTGAGCAAATTTTATTGCATTACGAAGTTAATAATAGTAGATCTGCGTGTCTAAAAGTGACAAAATTTTGTGATTCACGTTTGGGATCTGTTTAATTACTATATATTCAAGAAGCTGACTCATAATTTTGTGGTCTAAGATATTTGCTCCTGATTAACCTTTGCTTTACCTCGAGAGGAGTGTTGGCCTAGTGGCTTCAGCGTCTGACTCTCATCCCTTAGGTCGTAGGTTCAATCCCCAGTGGACCATGGATTTTCTGTCTATGTGTGCATTTAACATTCGCTATTCGAAATCACGTTGAGGGCAGCGGCATACCTTTAACCCAAAAAGTCGGCATGTGTCAGGCATAAAAGGCTGATCACCTTCTTGTCTATTAGATTGACAAATGATCATGAAACAGATACCTAAAAAATGGTTGTAGTGTGTACCTACACCAGGGTAGAAAATTGCATGCTTAATCACTAGGTTAGATGATCATCACCATTGTAATCTTAAAAGTCAAAGTCAAATCATTTATTTCAATTAGACCACCTAAATTGGCACTTTTGACCGTCAAACAAAATACAAAGAAGATTCTAGTTGCCCCTTCCAAAAGGTAGTTTCGTGTGGAGAAGAATGGGCAAGAAACTCCACACTTACTCTTTTAAAATAGGTTTACAATATTTTGTTTACATTTGTTAAATAATTATATGTGAAGCCAATGTACTCTTAGAATATAACTTCTAAAATAAAAACTGTAAAATAAAAGGTTTTGTACAATTTCCAGACGTCGCCGCTCTCGTTCGCGATCATCATCCCGTCATCATTCGACAGAGGATGAGTGCAGTTCCCCTCGAACCATCCTAATGTCGGACCAAGAGGCCCTGCATCAGCTCTATGGCGAGATCACCACAGTGCGAGATGGTGCTGTCACTCATCAGTGTGTGCAGACCAATTTGGCTGACGTCATCTGTGGAGGTATGTAACGTTTGTCTGTTCGAAACCGAACAAAAAATGCGAGATATTTACCTTTTATAACAATTATATTTAGCTTATAAAGACTAATTATAAATTAATAAAGACCTCAAGGATATCAGAGCTAGGTTAAAACTAGTTTTTAAAATCTAGATTATGAGTAAATATATGCATAGTTACACACAGAACTTAGGTTACAAAAAAAATCTTCACATATGTATTTATTTCGTAATCCTACAGCTAACAAAAATTATATATAATAACAAACAATTACACTAAAAATATAGCCAAAGATAGAATACATAATATTTAACAAATAGATGGTGTAAAAGTGAGGGTATGCTCATGATGCAGGTGATTTTGTGCTAAGGATATTCTTAATATTCCTTTTAGCCATGTTCCGCGATAGCTTAAACAATTCAAGGCTTAAATATTGGTTGTTGTATGTCCGGGCTGCGCGATACAAAACTGAATTTATACATAGTTGAGCACTGTATGATCTGGTAGACAGGAACAAGAAAGGGCAATTTTTCTAGAAGTTACTGCAATTAATTTTATTTCAGATGATGTCATGTAGTAGCAATAAATCGTATGGTTTTCGTCGAGAGTCTAAAGTATTTTAAAATAACGCGTCTTTATAGGTATTAAACTTATTACAGGTCTCATAGGAGATTTTATATGTTAATAGGTTTTGTTGAAGTAAACTTTACCTAAAACTCTAATGAGTGTAATGACAGAAAAAAGCTTCGGAAACAATTGATAAAGCTCCATCCTTAAGCGGTCTTAGCGTACAACAAATATATTTTTCACTTTATCATTCAGTCTAGAGCAGTGTCGGCCAAGTGGCTTCAGTGTCACTCTCATCCCTGGGTACGTAGGTAGGATCCCCGGCTGTAGCCCAACCGACTTTCTATGTACAAGTTGACGGTGAGTGTCAAGCACAGAAGGTTGATTACTAACTTGCCTATTAGAAATGATTCAGAAATCTGAGGCCCATACCTAATAGTTTATATCGTCCAGACAAAACTCAAAGAGATTTCCCTAAAATAGCATCCCAATATTCGTATCACATAAAATTTGCATTCAAAGTCCTAATGCCTTCACTTATTTGACAAATTCCAGGATCTCCGGAAGGCTTTTATGGAGCTTCTAGACCGCATTGTTCAACGTTGTTGAATTAAGTCAATGTTACCATTTAATAAGGTCTTTATTCGCTTGAATATGCAAAGTAGGCCAGGCTTGAACTGCAGTGGCCTGATTCCGCTTTGAACTTATACTTTCAGTTGTTTCAGTCGAAAGATCGATTTTCGACTGATTGCATATGCAAAAGCGTTAATTTTCATCCAAAGCATAAAAATTTTGCCAGCATCGGAGTATACTTCAAAATATAATTATTAAAAATGTGAAGTAAAACTTAATAAACACGTAATAATTAGTATGTTGAATCATATCAGAGGAACAAAGCATATGGAATTGCCTTTATAGATATGTATAGAAGGTCGGGACCCTTCGTACGGTTTTCACATTTTATTTTTTTATTATTTTATTTTTCCATGAATCAATCATCTGCAAGCTTAAATTTATAGTCTAACTATCTGAGATTCATATAAGAAAAATGACAAATGATTTCATCTGATGGTTCAACCATAATTATGATTTAAACTAAATCTGAAAACGTACGAATCTACCCCATCAACGGGGCACCTTCGTACAGTGTTGAGGGTACCTTCGTACGCTGTGGGTAGTTCCTACGTGCGATTAAAACGACACATATAAATCAAAATTCATTTATTAGCAATGAAATTAAACACAAAAATAAAGATTTAACTTCTAATAAACAAAAATAAAATACTTTAATTATAGTGAACAAAAATTACATACTTTTCTTAAGAAAACCAAAATTTAATTAGTTAGGTATCTTAAATTTAGAATCACATTCTTTAATCTTTTCGGATTAGCACTTCTATTTTCGGGGGGGGTATAAATTTGTGGTTTTCCTGGCCGTCGTCACTTTTTTTTGTTTTATTACTTCTTACAACATGCGTATAGAGTCGAAACCCTAAGGTGTCAAAACTGACTTCAGAAGGAACTACTATTTGATGGATTGGTAAATTATTCAAAGCATCTGGTTCACATGCATCAAAATCAACCTTAATAAAGATAATAAAAATAGGTAATAAAAATAATGAATACAATGATAGCAACACAGACAAAGTTAATGGAAATATTAGACAATTACACACTAACACAATCTTTCCTACCTACAGAGGGTTTATCAAGATGCCTTATTATTATTTTATTAATCGAAAACTTAATTTTATAAAATTACATTCTTCACAAAATATTTTCATACAAATTTATTTACAATTCGTTAAATTCCCCATTATTGTCCAAATACCCCACTAACTGAATAACAACAAAATATAACTTATTTTAATATTAATAAAAACTATAAATTAATATTAACTATTAATATATTTTTATTATATAAATACTCTACACAAAACTTATTTTATTACGTAAAAAACAAAACATTATAAAAAATACACAAAACACTCCACTTAACTTATCTATGCAATTTAAACTTCATTATTATATTTACCTCACTCATCACACATACAAAAACAAGACTTACTTAATATTTACTTAAATTAAAGATATAGACAAAGCAGAGATGTTATTTTTATATTTCCTATTTTGTCCATTGTTCACTGTCACACCCACCCACTCACACTCAATCAAGCCAAGTGCTTTCTAAATATCCTGAGTAGGACATTTCTCGGAAAGCTAGATGAATTCTTGTTCCGATAAACACGGGTTGTAATGAGTTACCATTTATGGTAAGTGGTTCACAGACCGTTACCTCGTCCTTATAAGTTGCGGCACTGACATTGTATATCTGAAGATGGCTCAGATTTGTATCAATATATCGTCTCATGGGAGCCATCACTTACCGCTAACTAGAACTACCTGGTACAGTATTCAAGACGTGGTCTGTCAAATTTATAGTATGGTTACGAAAGGAATTGGCTAGCTGCCAGTGAAGGTTATGGAGGAGGAATCTCGAAGTAGTTGTTATGTACATTCGGTACACACGAAAGTATACTTATTTGTTTAGGGCAGAAATAATCATCTTACCTTTTTATAATTAACAAAATAGATGCACAACTTAAAATGAATATAGATAAAATTAATAAAACGACGGTCTCACTGGCGTAGAAATCGCCCAATAAGTATCAATTTTCACGGCTTTGTAGCGGACTTATTTGTCAAGAAAAATAACTTTTGTATTGTCTTTGATTAACATAACTTTTATTCATTTAATAAAACACTATTTTTACCGGATTGAAGTTATGGTCACGGTGACCACGCACGCTGTAAAGCACGCGAAACGTCGGATAAATTTAAAATTATGTTAAATAGTTGTAAATTTATAATAATACATAACTTCAATCCGGTCAAAATAGTGTTTTATTAAAATAACTTTTATTTATTTAATACAGTATTAGTGTTGTTGCATAACGCTTTTGTACATGTTATTTCATTCCACGCGCTTACAATATAATAAATTGTGCATACAATTTTACACCTATGAGTAATGGGCCTGACACAAAAGTATTAACCAAGTGACATTGGTCTCTCGAGTTTTCGGCCCAATTGCAAAGGTCACTTTAGTCGCACGGGTTCGTGACTCCAGATTGTCTTAAAACCTAACGGTGTATTGAGAAATATGCAACGGAACTAACAATAATTTCTACTCACTCCGTTATCTTGACCGATTAGGTACGATAAAAAAATATTTACGAACCAATACTGTGAAATGGGAAGTCACGAAAAATGGATTCAATGACGTAATTGGAATACAGTTTCATAATTATCCAAAATGCGTTCCTTCCACTGGACTGAAGAACCATAGTTGCTGTGATTTCAACTGTATCTTAATGGACTTGCACAATTTTGTTAAAGTTTGTTGTATTTGTGACTTTCATTTACGCGATTCATTTTTTAAAAGGAACACAAGATATTTTATTTGTAATTTACCTAAATAGAAGAAATACTCACGACACATAAGCTATACTTACTAACACAGTCTAATTCTTCACAAAATAATTACATGACCTATGCTTCGATTATACAGGTCTTTATTGCATATGTTTTTTAAATATAGTGTTTATTAAAATAGAAATAAGGTTGTAGTGACACCAAATAGCTCGAAAGCCGGTCCGCTTAGTGTAGGAAACATTAATCAGTCTTACACCATATTTGTCGTAAATCTCTTGTCAGGGCGATAAATAGGCTTTAAGTCCTGGTAATATAGGTTATGATTGACAGTTGTTGATAAGCTCTTGATTGGAATGAACTGAGATGAATCGTCTAGCGAAACAATTTTTTTACGGATTTACTATTATATGTTTTCTACTTTGAAAAGCTTTTCTATTCTTTTATATAATTCAAATAAAATAGCAATTAAAATTCCATTATCATTTAATATTTAATCGTATCATATATTTAGTGTATATTGTATATATAGAGGACGTCAACCAGATCCCTGAGAAGATGAAATTAAAGAGATAGCGGGGATAGTAGTATTCAATTGGAAAATAGTAGCGAAGATAAAAGACAAATGGAAGGATTTGAAGAAGACCTTTACTCCGTTGAAGATCGTGTATATAATAACAAAATTAATGTATTCCTTATCTATATTTATAACGCCATATACAAACTATTTTTTCAAGAACGCGCCCGTTTAGAAGCCAAGAAATCCCGGGATTATTTTTTGTGACCAGCTTATTCAAACAGCTCAGGCAGCTTATTATAGCACTAGGATCGTTGAAATATCATTTGTACAATAGATTTCAGCAAATAAAGTTAAGGTATAGTTCCATAAATATTAGAATCTGATTATAAAACACATAATGCAAATTCTTCAAGTAGCGCGCGATTTGGGTTCTTACAGCACAATACGTGTTTTGAACTCTATAACATGTATACGTTTTTAAAATGAATTTAT